TTTATTGTATCCAAATTTGTGCAATTTTTATGCGATTAATTGCAAACACAGCCATTATTTCTACATCCACATTTTTATATAAAAATAAACGATTTTCGTAATAATTTAAAATAGAGTAAGAGAATAAATATAAGAGCACATGTAAAAGTAAAAGGTGGGTGCTACTAAAGAGGAGTATAATACGTATCACCTGGCACTTTAACAGCGCTACCAACTGCCAAAAGCGCCAAATTTAAAAAATATTGTTTTGGATAATTTTTTGAAGTGGGCGCGAATGTGTAACCATTGAACGACCCATCAGAAACGGTGGGTGCCAATATGTAACAATATAACTACCTCCAAAAGTTGGGAGGCAATGTAGAACAATAAAATTCACAACTTTCTTTGATAGTTATATTGTTACCCATTAGCACTCACCGTTTCTGATGGGTCGTTCAATGGTTACACATTGGCGCACACCGTATCTGTTTGGGTCGTTCAAGGGTTACACATTGCCACGTAAGTGTACACCTACATTGGAACCGTATTTCTCCCGATCCGATATCTGGCGACGTCGGATTAAAAACAAACTCAAGGTATTAAATCAGAGTGCCTATATTGCTTCGTCATGGAAGCAGTATAGGCACTATGATTTAATACCATGAGTTTGTTTTCAATCCGACGTCGGCCGACATCGCCCGATATCGGATCGGGAGAAATACGGTTCCAATGTAGGTGTACACTTAGTCACCTAGGGGCTCGATAACAGGGAAGGAGTCACACCATAGCTCAATCTTTTTGATACTGTAGATATCTTAGAGCAGCGAATTTTGAAAGGAGGCAATTCGGTAACTTAAAGTGAGTTTGGGACGTACGACTAAATCTGGACATAGAAAATAAAAAAAAATAGTTTTTTCTTTGTTCTCAAAATAATTTTATTCACATTTTTTGTACATTTAATATACCTGTTTATACCGTCAATTCCTTTGCTTTAATCAAAATTAAACATATCCTAAACCCACTAATTATTTAAAATTAAGGTAATTCTTAAAAAATTTAAATATAAATCAAACAAAAAAATTGCTGCATTAAAATTATCTTGTACAAATATTGATCTTATTGAATTTCTATTAAAGAACACACCTAGAGAGATGTACATAAAATCTCCTGACACACCTTAATTTCAACAAAAGCAAAGTGAGTCACAATGTATAAATTAAACAATTAAAATTAATGTTCCTCAATATCACTTATTATGTTAACTTACTAGCTAAACATTCACAGTTACTGTTTATTCTAAGGTAAATAATCGTTAAAATGCATTTGTAGAGATAGGGATAGAAAACCTATTAAAACAAGTAATATTTGGCCAATCATTTAATTTCTGATGTTTCTGACAGTAAAATCGTTACATAACATCATCCAATTTAAGATGCGTAAATTAATGTTGACTTATTTTTAACTAACAGCAGTGTTGTTAAACACTTTCACTCCTAACGTTTACTCGCTATAAGCGCTCAGAAATCATATTTTAAGGAGACATAAGGAAATATGCTCAGGAAAGAAGCTTAAAACTTACGTTGCAATGAAGCCAGGAGATCTCTTGACAAGAATGCAAGCGAAATATGTTGAAAATAAACTGAAAAATAAAATAAAAATCACGTTTAGAGAAAAGTTTATGAGATGTAAAGTATTCTGGAGCTGTAACTTGTCTTATTAAGCGTTGTTTTGGAATTTAGAATTGCCTTGGGATTGTAGCTAAATCAAAACAGTTTAGCAGTTTATTAGTGCATCAGTAACAAATTAATGTATACATCAAGAAGATACACCAGATATATGAATTTACCCATTTCGTAGTATAAACCATAGTAAGACACGTCAGCTGATTAAAAACATATCAAACGAAATTTTGCAAATACCAATTTTTCGGATCACTATGACTTGGTCCTATAGTTGGTTACATAGTTGAAGTGCAGTTTGATCACAATAAACTAGGAAACCAAAGGACAATAAAACATTTATAGATATCAAGTAATGCTGTAAACGGTACCTACTATGAAAAGTATTTGAATAATAAACAGCTATGTAGCAGAAAGCGACCGCGAGATGTTAACGCGGTCGCTAATGTTAATCCATATCTTATAATTAACTAATGATCATCGTCATCATGTTTGGCTCGATAACCCTTTGGCCTGCTCTAAGATTTATCATTCGGTTTCTGACGACGTGTTGCCATCTTCTGATCTTTAGTATCCCTAAGTCGGTCTCAACTCCACCTAACCACCTAATTCGCGATCGGTCTCTGCTTCATCTTCCTATAGGAGTTTCTGTCGTTACCTTTTTCCTTGTCGCTATCATATGTCTTCCGAGACCAATTTATTTAAGCTTTCAATGAAATTACTCATTTGCACTTACACTTAATAAAATAAATTATTTACTTCACTTTCTTTGTAAATATAAACGATAAAACTCCATATAAAACTGTATATCAAAATATGCAAAACATATTTTAACCATTTTACTAATATAAGGACGATTTATAAATTGTAGATTTTTCTTGTAAAATAGGTTCGAATAAGTTCATTGTTCAGCGCATTAATTCAATTAGTTCAATAGTGCTAAGCTTAGGTTATTGTAACCTTATACTTTCCTTAACAGCTTCATATTTTAATTAAGTGTAATAAATAAGTTTTTTTTAACTTATTGAACTTATCAAGAAGTGATTCGGCGTTTCCAGATTGATAAATAAGGTGACAGGCCGGAATAAATGATTTCTACAATATTCACAGAATATAACGCTTTTTAAAAAAGTCAGCGAGTTTTTGAATGAGTACACTTTCTTATCTATCTCTGTTTTTCATCATCCTGAGGGCGCCAACGAATAGTCTGTTGACAACCTATTGCTTGTAGTTGACCTACAGGGAAATGTAGAGTCAAATAGCCATCGTTTCAGAAGAAAGGGAATTAGTAATAAGAACAACAGTACTACTGGATGGAAATTTGGTCAACACATACTTACGTCCATAAAAATTGACCCACTTCACAATTTGGAGTTTTGTTGTAATTAAAAAAAAATTTAGAAAGTCAGTGGATTATGACGTATAATTAGATATTATATTTTAAATATAATTGACTAACTATAGAGTGAAACATAATGCTATCATCGTCGATCAAGAACAGAGAAAAAGCATCGTACAATCAAATGTGAGGATGCTTCATTGCATAAATATCGTTAAGGAACCATTACCTTATCGTACACTTATACATACATACAAAACATTTATCAGACCGATGATTGAATATAGGTCTAATCTTTATATCTCTTGTTCAACCACCGCCTCACACAACAACTGCTGTGATTGGAACAGGGAATCCTGCGTAGAGTAAACAACAAACGGCACGACTGCCCTCCGTCCTCAATCATCAATTGTAGAACATCCAGCCCATTAATGAGAGGCTCTCCTCTTTGAGCAGGAGTTATACCTTAAAATCATCCGTGGCCAAAACTTCAGAGCCCAAAAAATCATCAAAATTACCTGCTCATCCTTCGGCAATGTATTCAACAAACACAAACTCCCATTCCCACCCACTGAATGGCTGGTCCGTAATCACTTATTGCTCACTTCGAGATTGCTAGTCATGGAGGGATCGGTTTTCTGTGGTTTCCCGATCCATTGCACAATAACACCTGTCTGTTGCCGAGGCTCCAGCCACAGCTGCCCTTCCCGATTCATAACTTTATATACTTATTATTATTATATTATTATTTAAATTCAGGCCCAATTCATAACCATATAATTTTACTAATAAAATTCTGAAAAGGACCGTTTTAGCTCAACATCCCTTTCACCTATGACCACCCTGGATCCACCTCCTCCGCAGGACACAGCCAATGAAGCGTACCACCAGTAAGTCCAACAGTAGCGACAAAAGCCAACACAAATAAAAAAACAAACCACGTCCTGAAGAGGTTCTCCACCTATAACACGACAACAAAACCATCAACTAAGAGAATAAACAAATAGCAAAGAACCAACGAGACAATGAAGCTATTACCTTAATGCAGTTCAAGTTCAACAGTTACGCCAGGCTCCATCTTATAGCTCCTTATTCTACTAGAGGGATAATGATGCAGTATACCACAAAATATAGTATTAAATCCGGTTAATGTGGTTCTGAAACTATTTTTTGTGGCACTTCTTATAATAACTATGATATTAATGAGATTAAACCATAATTTTAATTAAAACTACTTTATATTTGACGTTTCGATTAACACCTCAGAAATTTTACTTTTCATTATTAAAATTGTGGTTTATTCCCATTACATATAGTAGTGAATTTAACTAGGACTATATTTATTCGTGTTCAAGCTGTTATTTGAGTAAAAGAAGGCTACGCCAATTTTTAATGTCAGTTTTTGTATTTAATATATTCCATTACTTTATTAAATACAGTTTATAGTAATTGCATACAAGTTTATAGATTTGAGTATAATTTCTAAAAAAATAAGAATATCACTTAATATTATAAAGCAGGTCAATTTCTGTAGACGTAGTGTAATATAAATGTGATATCTCAAAACTTGGACATAATATATAAATACTGAATCTATTCAAATGAATCTTTGAAAAAAATAAAATTACATTGAACGGATCTTTTAAAATATGTCAAAACTCTCAATAGCAGAATATAAAGCAGATCTTAATCAATTCAAAACAGAATGCACAAATTTTGAGAAGTAAATTTACTTCGTTAATTTCATTGCAAACCGTTCAGCGACTAATGGAACAATTGAAATTTATTATAATGTAATACAGATTAATTTGGATCTATTAAAACTCCCAGTAGCACTATTTAATGCATCGGCAAAGAATTGAAAATTAAGAGATTAAAGGTTAATGATGTCATGTCATACAATCTGTCATTTTAATGTCGCTTCCTAATGAATAAATATGATGTGATGTCATATTGTAAAGATCATCTATCTATTTAATCTTTTTAGTTACTTATATGTACATATAGGCCGAAAAATTCGTTTATATTAACCAAAAATTCGATTCATAAATGTTACAATATAATTAAAATCTTGTTCTTATAGATTTCTACCCTGTTGGTATCCATAGGTTGCTCTATTTGCAATAGGTGAACCTCTGAGTTATACACTTAAAAAATGGTTAGTACCAGAGCGAGTAAGTAAATAGTACCTAAAGATATATAAAACTTAATAAAAAAATTTGGTCGAAACAGTTTGTACCTTGATTACATGGTACAAAAGACGCAAAAGATTAAAAATACTCTCTACAGCACTTAAGGCAATCACGTACTTCAGAATTCCACCTATTACGATAGAGTTTCTTATTTTTATATCTAAACATTACTTTAATACTCATAAACAACTTATAATACGTAAATCGCTGTTAGAACACCAAGTTGATAATATTCGAAGAATTGTAATCACTAAAAAAAATTATATCAATATTTTTTTAAAAGTTCAAACTAATTTAAAACTAATTATAAATACTTCAAATATTAATAAATTAATGGTATTGAAGACGAACGGCAAATTTTAGTGACAAAATATATTCGAAAATTGTCTATATTTACTACAAACATTGTAGATGTTGAAATACCCGAACAAATCAGATACGAAATTGGCACATACGTTTTCTGTGTAAATTTTAACAATTAATTATCACCACTTCCAATAGGTCTACAAGTTAACGTCGGCAAGCCCGATCCAAATATCCATTACTTTGTCAGAACTTTCTATTCGAGAATATTCAGCTTTTCTGCATCTTCAAACTCTGTACTAAGTTAGCCTGATAAGTTGTCGTCCTCACCTAGAGACTTCAGCACCAATCGCCTGATGTTTCCTTTACTTTGGTACCTGATGCCATCTAAAATTGCAAGTGATTCCAAGCAACAGTTGACAGTTTAGTTATTTAGAGCAGTTGGAGTGCGCTTGGATCGAAAAATTATACCGCAGCCATATTCAATTATTCCTAAAAGAAGTTTAACATAGACCAATTTTTTTTTGCGGTTTGTTACTGTATAGATTCTTATTTCCAATTTGTACCACGAAGAGACGGTCAGTCTCGTGTAATATAAGTGTCCAATATGATTTAAGTGAAGAATGTTCAAAGACTTATCGACAAAGTGCATGATATGGTTTTGGAAGATCGGCGTATAAAATACGTAAAAATTGCTAATACTTTAAGGACCAAAAGAACGTTTTGGTCCAATTTAGCACTAGGCATTGAACTTGCGAAATATGAAGACCATGTATGCTCAGTTTAAATCACAAACAAATTCGCATGACATTTATCGAAAAGTTCCTGGCGTGTTTTACGAAAGGTAAAAGGGGTTTGCATCGACAGGTTATAGTGTATGAAACATTAACTGTCATCAGGAGTAACAGCCAAATACACTTCTCCAAAATATATGATGCTCGATGATTTGGGATGCGAAAGGAATTTTGTCAATTCACTATCTTTAGAAAGGTAAAACGGTAAATGGAAAATACGACTTTCAGATTCAGACCAGGCTTAAAGAAAAACATCTTTTTCCATCGGGACAACGCGCTCGTCGACAAAGTATCTTGGCTATAGGGAAATTGCCCTATTTAGCGCTGAAACATCCATCACACCCGGCAAGATTTGGTTCTCTCGGACTTCTCGGCCTCGTCTATTCTCAAAACTGAAATCTACAATCAAGAAGCCAGTGCAGCTGTAGATAAGTACCTTTTAACACTTTCAGTTTTGGAATGAGCTAAATAAAATGTTTTAATATTAGAGAAGATCATGTTTAAAAATAAAACTTCTTTAAAGTCATAAATTGTCGTTTTAACTATAAATCCATAAAATTTCCAGACCACTCACGTAAAAATCGCCGATACCGAGGTACTCACAATATAAAATTCTTCCTGATTTATTTTAATTTATGATAGTACTCGTTTAGTGTAGAATCGCAGGAGATATTTCTTTGGTATCATATATATTGTACAAATAACTAAGTATGGAAATTTGATCATTAGACACCTTTTCATACAGTTTAAATTAGGTTAAAAGTGTTACTATGTTACTTGAGCATTAACTCTTTCTGTAGATAATGGAAAAATTGGCCGCCCATCCAAATACCATCAATTCAACTTTAATGTTTACACCACGTTTTCCTACCTACATATTTATTATCTGAATGGAAAAATATATGTATTTTCTATATCCTCTCCACGCAATATAATTAAGCATATTCATACTGCTTACATTTTACGTGAAGTTAATTATTTTTAATAAATTCGGTAAAGGATACATACACAAATACATAATAGACATTAAAATATGATTATCGTTATTGTGAGCTACTTGTTAGCGTCAGTTCGAGTCTTTAGGTTCATTCGCATTTGGAGCAATTCTTTGTTTATAACTTTGTCATCTTCATTCTGCAAAATAGATATAAATTAATTGGTAACAAATATAAATATTAACACAGCTACAATATTACAAAAATGTGAGTTTGAATTACTAAAAAATAAACACTCCAGACTGGCCGTATTAATTTGAAGGGGTTAGAAGCAAAAGGGTACAAGTGACAAATAACAGAAATTCAATATTCAAAGTTTTTGTGCTATTGTAAAATCCAGAGAGATTGCATTCTTCGTTTCTTCAGCAACTTACATGTTGCACTGTCATGAATTTTGTTAGCATAGACATTTTCTCAAAAATTGTCCGTTTTTGATTTTTGGTGTACTTCTACCGTTTTGCCTGCAAATAAATTTAGAAAACTTGGTATTTCGCAAATGTTTTATTAGTGAAAATAACAAACTTATTTATAGCTTAGATAATAAAAAATAATAATATGAACATTAATTAATTAATCATCATAATCTTAGTCCAACAGGTCTGGAACGTTGTTGTCTATCACCTTCGATTTCTAATGCCTGAGTTGGTAGTATATTTACATCAACGTCAGGAGTCGGCGAGTACTATCTAACTGGGTTGGATTATCTTTTTTTCTTGCTTTCGTTCATTTTTTATCTTCATGAGGAAAATCAATATAACATTGGTGATGACAAGGCGGTATATAATATAATAATGTCCTTAAATTCTCATACTTTTCATATGAAATATGAAAAGGTTGAGAAATTTTCCAATGTGAAGGTTGGCCTTCTTCTTGTTGGCTTAGAGCAACTTTCGGTGTACATTGGAGTCCAGTTTTCATTTCTGGACATCCTAAAAGACAATTTCGAAAAGTCATTCTTTGTATAAATAAACCAGACATTTTTACGCCATCTAAATATCCGGTTTTCCTCGTCTTTCTTTGGATCTTTTATGTTGTCATGAAGATATTGGAATGAGAGAAAGTAATCATTACTCATGCATGTGACAATGAAATTTTTGCTTGTCTTTTTAATAATGTTAACCCAATCATCACCTGATGAAGGTATTTCTTCTTCTTTTTTCAATTTGATCGAAAGATCTATCACATTCCATGTATGTCCATAGCTGTCTGAGGTAATATACCTTATTAATAGTTAGCAGGGGAGTGGCTATCGTTTTTTTAAATCAAAGCTCTGTTTTACTTTGTGAGATTACTTCGATACTGGGGCCCTTTTTTATTAAATTGTTTAACCGATCGCATGTATCTAAATGAGGTTTATGAAATTTCAAATTAAACTCAGTACAAAAAAAATGTCTATAGTATGTTTCCTTTACTGGCACTTTGTTCAATTATGAACACTATTCAAGATCGAGGGTTACATCTTTTTGGTATTTAGATCAGTTGCTAGATATCTGGAAGCAAAATTTTGTAATCGAGAATAATGGCTCTTATATCTCGGAAACATTTTGATGTGTGATGACGACGTCAACACGTCTCTCTTTACTTATTTTGTTTCACGGTGGATGTTTGCCACATTGATCGGTTTGCAGAAATCTTTCATTGAATAGTTTATGATACACCGTATTAAGCTTGCCATAAGTTATTCCTAACAGTTTGAAAAAGAACGTCTTGCAGACTCTAAAGCTCATCAGGAGAATATGGGTGGCAAAATATTTGTGATAGCGTGTCTCAGCTTTTACTTTCTTGGAGGATCTTCTTAATGCAGGAAGCAAGGTGAAAATCCAATTTGGCGGGAATGTGCAAAAAACACACCCAGGTTTTTTATTAACAATTAAAAAAAAAGACTACAATATGTCGAAGATTTTGAGGCATGTAAAGAGACAATAAGAAACCATTAAAAAGATAAAGCTGTTCTCTGGTTCGACAGTAAAGGAGATGAGTTTGTCAGCTGGGAAAACTTTGAAAAATTTTTTTTTAATATTTTTGGGGAAAATCCAGCAATTGAAAAATAACAAAGAGCTCCAGAATGGTAGATATAATGAGAAAAAGACAATCTCGGAAAAACATACGATCTACAATTTTATAATATATATATTTTATAATATAATAAACTCTTGAAGACCACATTACGTTGCAAAATAAGAAAGACATTGATAGTTAATGTCAATTTTTACAAGTCCGAGACTCACGACGTCATAAGACAAAAACTTAAAGACTACATTAAAATTATGCAACTCAGGAAACACAGCATAACAGAAACCGGGGACAATTTTACCAAACAGACCGGTAAAAAGAGAATTTAGCACCCAGAAGAGAATATGAAAGAAGAGATGAAAAAAAGAAATAACTATGAACCCAGAAATCGACAATGGAACTGGAATAGACAGGAAAAATCGGGGAAAAATACTGCACCGACATATTCTGATAACAGACATAATAGGAATACAAATGAACAAGGATGTCGTGAAAACCATTTCAACGATAGAAGGACCGAGAAGAGTAGTAAATAACAGCCTGAGACAAATTGAATTATAGGTAATGTTGTTTGAAGTAATATACTCTAATTTAAACTTCATATTTTTGCTTACCATAATATTTATATATATATATATATATATTTATATATATATATATAATATTGATATATATAATATATATTATTATATATATATATATTAATATATATATATATATATATATAGGTTTTACAAACATGGTGGTGGTATTTTTAGTTCAATTTGTTTTTACAGAAGTCCCGTACTTAACAGCTGCTTGACTTTATGACATTATAAAAATATCTTGTTCCAGATATGCAAATACAAGAAAATATGACTGGCCCCGTCCTGTCAAATACCATTGACCGCTTTATTAACACAATTGAAGATTACGCAAAACAACGACAACCAGTGTTTATTACCGCATTCATAATTCACGCACACTTGTCTTAAATTAATGTTGACAAACAGAAAAGTTAACATTTCTTACTTTATCTTCGTGGGAGCTTTGCAGGCGTTTCACTCTGTCCGCAATCACCTTTTCGAGTTCCGGCGTTTGCGCCGCTATATGATCGTCTAATTTCTTTCTGGCGAGATTGTCCTTTTGTTTTTCTAGAGCTCGTTGTAGTTCGGATTTTTGGTTTAATACATTTTTACCTCTAAAAAAGAAAAAATATAATAAGAAAAAGTTTGGATACAAAAAATATTTTAGTCAACATAGAATAACTTAAAAAATATATGGAAGATATACGTTTCGATTTCTCAGTATTTAAAAGCAATATAAATTATCGTGGACGTCTGCTAGGGCTGTATTGTGTGACATTGTGTTCACTCGATTCACTTTTTACATATTAAAAAACATGTATGACTAACATTAGTTTCACTAATACAGAGTGCACCACGTTTATGTAAAGACAAAACTGGTACGAAAGGGCCTACGATTTTCTCAATAATACAATATTTGGGTACATTAAACACGAATCTATAACAGTTCTCACCATTTTTGCTTTTGATACAAGAACACAATTTTTTAAACTCCAACATTCATGGGTTACTTCATGGTAACGGGTCGGAATAAATACACTAATCTGAAGATTACAGCTATCCCGCTGAAAATGAGAGCATTCCATTCCAGTATGGTGCATTACTTTTCCGCCCAAGGAATCTACTGATAGTCGATTATAATATACTACTCTACTTTAAACAATCCGTTGAAAATACGGAATGCTCTTCAGCATCCATTATTAACATGGATACCAGATATCATTGCATAATTGATGAACTTAACGATACGATAACGAACAGCACTTGTTCTGTTATCAGCTAAAACAGTGCAGCAAGCTAAGTAGAATAAGATAAACAGCCCCAATCTATGGTTAGTGATAACACCAACCACGATTCATATATCTACAATATGTGATGGGTCCAGGACGGAGCGGATCATTAAAAGAATCAGTTTCCTAAAACTGCCTACGAATGTAAAGCTTAGACTAGAAACATCACCTTACTTTTGATCATCATTTGATCCTGATCAAAGATTCTGTACAACTAGTCTTATACACACACAACCTCACAGAATTTGTGAAAACATATTGAAAACTATTGTAATCAGTGTATAATACTAATTTCACGATTGTTATGCAAAGATGCAAAAAAAAAGTTTGCCACTCCTACTCTGCGCTTCCCTCTTAAATCCCCCCACCCGTCGGGGAAATATCGATTTAACAAAAATCTGTATGCTGTAGAACAAAATGTTTCAAACAAGAAATGTAGCTGAGATAATTTTGAAAAAAAACTGTTTATTAGCACTTCTGTCTAGAATGAACAATTCTCTCAGAAACAACGCTTAAAGATACCGGCGATTTTGAATGTCAGTAGGCCCGCGAAATCAGTTTTTTAAATAAAATTTATATCAACTCGAAGGTAAAAATTCGATATCTTTTAATCAGAGTGCCCTATTCACAAAAATTGAAATGCATTTTAAAGGTGAAGAGTGCAACTTTCGTATATTTTTTTCATTTTGCTGCAATGAAGTCAGTTTCTATAAATATGTTAAATAAATAAACATTGCGCGATTTTTGCAATTTTTTACGATTCTCCTGAGCTCTATAAAATTCTCATTTCCATTAACCAGTCGTTGTAAAATTTTCATTGTTTTGAGTCCAACCTTTAACACATAACACCTTGACATTGGGAGGAATTCGTAGCTGAAGTTGGGTAGATTCGAAAAAACTTAATTTGTACAATTGAAAAGCGGTTTTAAACGTTTTTAATCGTTTGTAATGTGGAAGTTAAAATTCAGTATTTTTTAGGCATATTTCAAATGCCTTATATTTATATGCGGCAAATGCAGAAATTGCATACGAAAGCTGTACTCTTCACCTTTAAAATGCATTTTATTGTTTAAAACATTGCGTAAATACACATTCTTGGTAAATCGATGTTTACCACCCCCCCTACGAGGGGAGTTTTAGGGGAATACCGAGGGTTAGGATGGCAAATATTTTTGTATATTTTTTGGGGTCCCAAAATTGATATTCTCAGCATAATTCAGCTTTTTCCTTTTTCGTATTATTTTTATAGGTTCAGTGTCATTTTCGTCTTTGACAACTGGAGTATTCTATATTTTTCCACAGCAATTGGTTGTAATAATTCGGCCTATATTGACTTTATTTATTTACAAATAAAATCAAATTATCGATTCTACTAACTTTAAATAATGTCTTAACTAACTAATTATTTGTAACACATCAACTTCGTAATAATTACACTTGTTATTCTGAATCATTCCGAAAATCGTTTCATTGTTTTTAACGAGCCTAGATACATACAAAAAAAACAAATGAACAAAAGAATGTTTATTTTAAATTTATTTGACATGAACGGAAGATGTTAATTAAGCGCTGTTTGTATACAAACTCATGTTACATTTCTAAAGAAAAACAAGTCGTATTTAAGAATGCACTTCCACTTAGTTGAACAGATGTGACGGAAATATTACAATTTCATGTAATAAGTCGGCTTCTTGTAAATATATCTGGAAGTTAGCAATTACTCCAATTATTATGAAAAATGATAACAAAAAGAATGATAAATATTGTTTATATAAATTGTTTTTTTTTTGGCGAAAAGAATGTTCACAATACTGAAAATTGTATTTTTTGACGTTATTGCATGAAGTACTGACTTTTGAGGAAAACAAAGGTTTAAAGCTATTTCTACGTTATTTTTAAAGTCAACTATTTACATACATAAATCCCATATTTACATACAAGTACCTCGTTATTTTCGTCACTAGTTGTCGATGGTATTGTATTTTATTTCTTTCAAATTAAACGGGATATAGATATAGATAAATATGCACCAGAGTGATTCAGTTGCAGTAAAAAATCCCACTGATAATAAAAATTGAAGAGATCTCTAAAGAGGTCAACATTCTAAAAGATAAGAATAATTGTATATGACTATAAATTGACGCCTACTCAAATTTTCTCACTATTCCCAACCTTGAAGGATAGGCTCTGCAGTTTATGGCACTAATTTACCACTCCTTTGGAATATGAAGACAAAACGATAAAATTAATTAAAAGATCGAAGAAATATTTGTCTCTAAAATACGTCATACATATTTTAGTTAGGATGTATTTTACTGGAAGTAAGATTTCGGAAACAGAAGTTGAAAAATCACTCTAAGAATACAGAAAAAAATATATTTGAAAAAAGAACTTAAATAAATAGTTTTAATTAAACATCTGAACAATATGTTTTATAAACGCCATTAAAAATAAATAACATCACAGACTAATAGCTTTCAACAATATTAAAAAAAAATAATCTCATAAAAATCCCATAAAAATGTATGCCCCAGTCTCAACAACAACAACTAAAAAGCTTGACACTGTACACAATTTTAGTATAAGACTTTGGAGCATTCCGAATAACTACTGTCGAAATCTCACTGAATGAAGCCAATAAGCCACCCCTACTTTACGGAAGAATGTATTTAACGCTATGTAACTCAACTTCTACTGACTTAGATCCAAGTAAACCTTTGTATGACAATAGCTTCAACGATAAATACACGAGTTACTTTAATAATAGGTCTCAAACACCAAACCTCAAAATAATTCGAATGTACTGTTCTGAATTAAATATTCAATTTCCAAAAGATTTTCCAGTAAACTTCGACAACTGGCCTCCATGGACCATGGAGTGCATAGACTGGTTTAAAATATTTACCGACGCATCAAAAACTGAACAGGGAGTTTGTGCAGCTATTATTACATCAGATGGTCCCTTAAAATTTGACTTTCCCACTTATTCTACCATTTACTCAGAACTTTTTGCATTGTTAAAAGCCCTAAAAGACATTAATACCAAAAACATCTCCTAAAGTGTTATTCTTTCCGACTGCCTCAGTGCAATTAAAGACATGAAAAATCTCTACCCGAAAAATTCCATAAAGAAAATGATAAAATTTGAACTTTTAAAAAGCCCAAGAAAAACTCTTCTTCTTCTTTATACGCAATTCTGCTTGTTCATTGGCGGATTAATACCTCTATGGAAAGTCGTCACTCCATCTTTTGGGCGATCGTCCGATACTTCTTATGCCGATTGGTGACTTATCTCTTGCTATTTTGACGACACGTCTCCTCCATTCTGCTTATGTGATTATTCCATTCTTTTTTCTATTTTGTGTCCATTCATTTATACACTGTACGTTACATTTTCTTCTAATGTTTTCACTTCTCTTTCGACCTCTCAGCATATTCCCTGTAATTCATCATCATCATTTTGGCTTTACATTCCCTGTAATTATTCTCAGTAATCTTATATCTGCCGTTTCCAGTAGTTTTAGGGTTGTGGATGCGTCGGGTCTTGTTTCTGAGGCATATGTCATTATTGGTCTTACAGTGGCTTTATAAATTCTTGACTTCATCTCAGTGTTATTGTGTCTGTGTAATCTTAATAGTGTTATTAAGGCATCTTGCCAGTCTATTTGCTTTTTGTACTTGATCTCTCACTTCTTTGTCCAGGTCTCCACAGCTAGACAGGGTAATTACCAGTTATTTTATTTCCATTACTTGTTCAATACTGATGCCATCAATTTCTATTTTACATCTGGTTGGTTCTTTGCTGACTACTATTGTTTTAGTTTTCTGAAATGTGATTTTCATATTAAATTGGGTCGTCAAGAAATCAAAACATAAACAAAATTCCGATTCTAAAAAAGCGGCAACACTTTAAACACTTTTGCCACACGCTCAACTGTCAATAAAATTTGAAGTATTTCCGTATCAGTTGTGTACAATTGTCTAATATATTACATAATTAAAATCATTATTTTGTGGAATATCAGACTTAAAGAGCTATTTCATAAAATTATATTATTAATAATAACAAATGTTTTTGGATATTTAATCAATATAATTCTAAAATTTTCAATATAATGATGTAATATACTAAAAAAAATCTTCAAGGGCGTTTAGAACAAATTCATATACTAAAATGTTATGCAAAACATCTTTTGATAGATACAATCAGATCATAATTTTATATGTAAGCAGGTTAAAATTTATACCAAACTATCACTTGGTTGACTGAAAAAGTAAAAGTTAAAATTCTTCTATGGATCTCGCGAAATAATTAAATTAACTCA